ATGTACATATATAATTATATACACACACAAATATATCTATATGTACATTTATGTACACATTGCTTTACATGTTCACTCCTGTATCAAACAGCAGTTCCTCAAAAAGGCCTCTGGGACCCGCCACGTACGCCAGCGCCAGGACCAGACGGACCTACATGCTGCCGGCCACGTCCTCCAGAGTCACGCTGGGGCCGCCGCTGTTCTATGAGGGCAGGAGGAGCCGAGGGGCCAGAACCACGCCGTCGAAGGGCGGCCGGCCCTTCAGCAGGGACAGCTTCGTCTGAGTCAGCCTGGAACTGCTGAGCTCACAAAGTGACTTTGAAGGAACAGTTTGACATTCAGGGAGATTCTCTGAACAACAGATTTATAACTCGTCAGTCCACAATCACTGTTTGTTGTTTTTAAGAACCTGCGTCAGCTCTTTACGTGCAGCAGCCATTAGACTGGACTGCTCCTGCTGTGAGGAAGAGAGGAGGGGCTGTGGAAAAGGGGGTGTGTTAAAATCCATATGATTGGGACACACCTGTGAGCCAGAGAGGAAACAAAGAAAGAAACAAGAGGAGAGGAAGAGAAGAAGAAGAGGAGAGGAAGAGGAGAAGAAGAGAAACTAAAGAGTGGCTGGAACCAAAGAAAGCTGACGGACCACGTCTTCCTGAATCATCTGAGCGGGTTTGGATAACTTTACCTTTTTTTGCTCATGATTAACGTGAACGACGGAAATCTGGGAAATCACAACTTCTCCCAGTTTGGACTCTCCCTTCCCCCTCATACCCCAGTAACACCACCTGGACTGAACTCACACACACACACACACACACACACACACACCATACATTTCTATACATTTACAGATGGACACTATTCAAACGAATGAAAGCAAAAGAAGGACATTTACTTTGAAGTAATTGTTTTATGTTGTTGCTGATATGTTTTCATGTGACTCGGGACAAATTCTGAAGTTGAAGTGTTTTTATTTTGTCCTGAAATTCTGTTAAAGCATGAATGATTATTGAAATGTAATTTTGGAGTGGACGTTATGTGATTTTGATTTAAACCTATTCTTTTAAATTTGATATAATGTATAATTATAATTTAAATAGTTATATCTGGCGCCCTAATTAACACACTATCAGGTCTTAAGTTACGCTACACATGCTGAAGACGCTGCTTATTCATATCTACCACAATCGTACATGTGGTAAAGCGAGTGAGCGCATTGTCCCTAAATGTCAACGTGTTCCTTTAATGAGTGTTTACATATTTTGAAAGAAGAAGAAGAAAGTGGATGAATCTTTTTTTTCACAGTTAATGTTCATGGGTTCTTTTCCTCCGTGGTGTCCACACGTTAATCAATCACAAGTGAATGGCTGAAAGTTGTTTTTATTTTCCCTCTCGTGAATATGAATGTTTTCTTTCTGCAGGTTTTGTGTTTTCAGTGATAAAAACAAACGGGTTTCCTTTCAACGGCTCCTTCTTTTGTTTCCTTTTCATTCTTTCAGTGTGAACTCGGCAGGCTCTCACTGGGACATCAGGAGGTTCCTCACAGTTTAGTGCAGCCACAGTTTGTCAGTGATACAAACTCAGAAAAGGTGATGGGTGAGGTTCGTAGGTTTGGTTGAAGAAAGACGGACAGAATAGTGTAGTTTAGTAAGTTTTATTGCTTGTATAAATATTTTCAATACAAAAAAAGACATAATATAAAATCTGATGTACAATTTCTTTACACAAATGACATACGTGGAGTGTGGGAGATCACAGAATGATTTAACAGGTAAACACTGAAGAGGTGTAAGACTTGGCACAAGATATAAAGAGGGACTGAAAAAAGAAAAGTCTTATATTTACTAGACGATAGAAAACTCTGAACCTGTTTTTGTGAAGTATTGCTCAAGTCTTTATTAGCAGAAGTAGAAAATATGGCTGCTTTGGCATCGGCCGTGGACGTCAGAGGAGGCGACTGAAGTTTTTGCGTCTGTGCTTGGCGTGGCGTTACGTCACCTGATCAGCTGTAGTGTCTGCTGTGTTTATTGCTCGTGTCCTCGGAGTCACTGAAGTCGCTGAGGGAGCACAGGCTGCTCTTCAGGGTGCTTCCTGTCCCGGCTTCAGTCAGACCTGCTGGGAACGAGACAGACACACATTTACATGTCACTGCTTAAACCGATTCACCAGAACTGTCTTCATACATTTTTTACAACAATGAAGTATAATTGTTTACTATTGTTCCTATTGGAGTATTATTATATATTTTTAAGATGGTGTCATGCGCATGTCTGTGCACGTGACAGACGTGTTGACTGAAACCAGCCCGCGCTGACCTGGATTAACCTGAAGGAGGAGCTAAGCCTCCATGGAACTCACTACAGGCTGTTTGGCGTGGAGGGTCCATGGTCGAGTTATTTTGTGATTTGCACTCCTCCTTTAAGGAGAAGGAGCTGCTGGGTTACCATGGCGATGGGAGGGGAGGGGTTTAAAGGTGTTTGATGACACCGGTGGGTTCCGTTGAGTAAACGCTGACCTGATTTGGGAGCCTTTCCTGTGGAGGTCCCCCACACGCTGGTGCTGGGTGAGTCCAGACTCTTCCTCAGTGGTCCAGAGCGCTGAGCAGGTTTAGACACTTCCTGTCTGTCCTCTAAGGAGGAGACCACCCAATCACTGCTTTCCTCCAGATCTGTGTACTGTCTCACACACACACACACACACACACACAAACAAGACTCACATTTGAACTTTCTTTTTAAAGTAATAATTATATCAATGAACTGGAGACTCCGAGGTCTCTTCATCATCCTCTCACCGTCAGCTCCTGCACCTCGTCCCTCCTCTCTGTCAAAAGGCTGACGCCCCCTGCTGGTTTCTTTGCTGCTCTCTCTGCAAACTTCTGCTCCATTTTTCTGGTCAGGACGGTGATTTTGTTTTCTAAAAGCAAACAGGCAATTTACAAATGGTCTTCAAGTGGTTTAATTAACTACATGTCATATATTTACCTGGTGGTGAGTGCATCATATGTTATTAAGACCTAACCTGATTATAAACAAGACTTTGACGGCTTTAACGTTTTATTTAAAAAATAACTTGTTGGAACCATTCAGGAAACTGAGCACTAACCTTTCTTGTAGTTCCTCTTATCCACATTGCCGTTCTGGTCTTTGTAACCCTGCAGCTGTTTGGAGTCGATCTCCTGCAGCTCGCTGACTTCAGACCACTCTTCCTCCTCCTCCTCCTCCTCATCTTCATCATCGCTCTCTATCTTTGTCACTGCCGTCTTCGTCACCACACCCACTGACCCCCGAGGCAGCTGGGTGCCGGAGGAGAACGGCTGCCTGGTAACGGCCTGCCTGGCCTGGACCGGGCTGGTTTTGCCGGCTCTGATTTGGACTGGGGTCGCCTGGATTATTCTGGGAAGTGGTGATTTGCCCCTCTGGTGTTTCGGGGGCTGTTCCTCCTCCATATCCTCCTCTTCAGATTCCTCATCTGAACTGAAAGGAGGAGTCCTTAAAAATCACAGAAACACAATGTTTATTTTAAAATCTTCATTTAACACTTAAAGATAAACTCGATGTTATAATTTTCAAGGTATGTGAATGGTATTGGTAGTAAATAGTATATTTGATGTACTGTTGCTCAAACCTACTATAATTAAATTATCCAGGTCGTCTGCTAATCAGAAGGCTGGTAGTTAAATTCCTCCTTCGGCAGGACACTAAAAAATGCCCATGAGAATGGGACGCATGAGCGACGGTGAGACGAGAAAAGCTCTAAATAAATACAGTGTTTTGTATTTTTACTTGGGTGTGAAGGTCCTCGGAGCAGCCTTGCTGTTGGGCGTAGACGTCTTGGGATAGGCGGTGCTCTTGGCCCTGGGCGCCGGCTGGGGGGTCTTGGACTGTCTGACCGCAGGTCCACACATCACCTGGGTGGCACTAGAGGGAAGGCTACTGCTTCGAGGTAAGATCTGCAACACTTCACACAGACAGATGACACAAACGCCACAATTAGTGGATGAGTCACTGCGTCTGAGCCTAAATCAGCTTATGTGGCGGCAAACAAGCTTTTACAGATTAGACCGAAAGTGTTGGGTACACAGTCAAATTACTGAAGTCCGGTGAAGTGTGGGTACTACTGGTCTGTGAGCAGTCTCAGAATTTAAAAAAGCACCTTGAACTGAGTGCCTGGATCTCGCTTGTGGTTCTGGAGGAGATTCTCTGGTCTGATCGCTCATCTTCTCATCCACACTGCCGGAGATCTCCTCCCGACAGCGCCAGTATTCAGGCATCTCCTTCGCAACGCTGTCCCGCTTTGAATGCACCTTGGCCAGGATGGACGTGAGCTCCCTGTTCTTCAGACCACTTTGATTCTGAGAAGAAGCAGAAAAAAGAATGTCAGGACAAAAAGAGTTTTTGTGCAAAAAAAAAAAGCTTTACACCTCATTTCCACACAGCCGTGTGTGGGTGGAGTCTGTATACGAAACAGATTTACAGACACAAAACAAAAATGTGTGGAGAGGAGGAGCTAAAAGTGTGAGAACGTACAGGCTTGACTCCCAGGTTCTCCAGCTTCTTCGCGACTGCCTGCTCGAGCTCGGGTCGCATCTCCTTCTTGACGCTGGGGTTCCTCTTCAGAGCGTTGGCCTTCGCGCTCTGACTCTGTTTCTTCTGTGGAGCTGGCTCAGGCTTCCTCTCCGCTGGCCTCCTCTCCGCTGGCCTCCTCTCCACTGGCCTCCTCTCAGAGACACTGCTCGAGTCTGTAAAAGAGACCTCCCTCAGTCAGTCTTGTGCTGACAATCACACGTGTTGGGGCGTCACACGCTAAATGCAAAAATAAAACAAAATAAAAATGAGCATGCATTTGGCAATTTTCAAAGCAAGATCCATGCAGAAGACAGACAGACGGACGTAATGATCATGGAACTGCTGTGGAAGGCACGATGGAATATCACAGACCATGAGCTGGCTTTTCACAAAGCTTCTATGTGATAATGCCTTTTCATGTCAGTGTGCAACAAGACGATCTCAGTCTCGTAGAAGAAAGGGCCGCCCAGTACAGGCCAATGCATCCATGCAGGCAGCATGCAGTCGACCGGCTCGCCTTCTTTTATTGTCTGTGTTACCTTTCTCCTCTTCTGACAGCTCCTGTATAGGATCCAGTTTAAGAGCAAAGACTGGCTCCTCTAATTGGACGGGCACATGAGGTCAGTGGGAGTGAGGGAGTCAGATAAAACAGGCGTTAACAGAGAGGGGACATGGATGTGGAAACAGTACAGCTGTTAAACTGCATGAAATCCTTCATGCAGGAAGGCACATGCTCAGCCTGTCTGGGACTGACAGTGTTTCAGTGTTCTCATTTCATGTTTGGGATTCACTCACCAACAACAACTCTCTTTGGTTTGGGCTCTGGTGCTGGTGCGCTGACCACCACTGGAAAACAGAACGAGATGAATGCATTAGAATCGTGTGTGCAGTTTCTGTTGGGATGAAGATTTGGGGGATGGAGTCCATACCTGGTACTTCCACTACTTTGGTGGGTGTGTTTGAGGAAATATTTCTTGTCTGCAAGTTGAACAAATAATCACAAGTTAAACCTCATGATTTATTATGATTAGAATTAATTTGTTATGTCGTGGAGCTGTCGCTGAAAATACTATTTGTTATTAGAGCCAAATGTATTAATTAGCTGGATTTCCTGGCATCGGAAAAAAAGGAAAAGCATTCAGTCAAAAGTACAGTATCATCACATCAGTTCAACTCAATCTGAGCCAGCGCAGCAAATACAGGAAATCCTGAACAAGGCCTGAACGTCCGCCTCACTTCCTCTCCAGACATAATCGCACTAGGCGGCGATAACTCAGAGTGTGAGTGTGTGTTATTAACCTGCTCCCGCTGAACCTTGATGGTTTGCTGCTTCTCCTGCGGCCTCCGTCCCATCTCCTGCTGCAGCTGTGGGCTTTGCTCGTGCTGCTCGGACAAGGACACTTGAATTCTGCTCAGCTTGTCCAGCAGCTGGAGAACAAGAGGATGCATTTTCCAACAGGGTCGTTTCCTAAAGTGCTTGTTTAATATTTCAAACGTGCAAACTCTTGACATATAACCATACCTGATTCTTTTCAGACTCGTGTTGTTCCTTGTTTTTTTTCAGCATGGATTCCCACATTTTATACTGGAGAGAATTATTTTGAGCATTTTGAGTTATCATGTCACTTCACTCATTTCTAGGTTGTACAAATATGAGCTCCCTGCGCTACTGACCTGCTTCTTCAGCTCCTGGATGATTTGTGTCTGCAGGTGAGCAGAGTCGGCTGAGGTTTCGAGCTTGGATATCTGATTCTGATTCAGTTCCTATGAATGGAAATGAGAGTGGTTAAAAACAGTATGAAGATAAGAGCACATTAATATCGTATATAAACAACATCCACGCGTCCTTTCCGTACATTGACAGCCTGAATATTTCGGTTGTACATAGATTCCATCTCTCTATGCATGCTTTCCCTGGTGTCTTCTATTTTTCTTTCCATGCGAGTCATCTCCTCAGCCTTAAAACGGTCCAGCTCTCTCAGGAGGTCTTTTTGCGTGGACTGCTGCTCCTTCTCCTGGAATTACACAAATCACAAATGCCTGGTTTAAAAGAGGAGGCTTCGAAAAGTTTACAGAGAGAAATATTTCCCCAAACTGTTATTTTTTTAGAATTTAATTTAAAATCAGTTCTTCTCCGATGTGCTTTTCTTACCTGAGCTGCTTTGAGCTGCAGGTTCTGCTGCAGTTGAACGTTCTGCTCCCTCAGGCTGCTGATCTCCATCTTGAGAATTTCGATCTGGGATTTCTTTTCATTGTCCGACCGCAGCTCTGGAGGAAAGAGCGAGAGTCATATCATAAATTAAAACGTGGGGAAATGTTTTACATTTTATCTACAAGTAAAAGACAAGGCTGTTCTTAACCCTCTGAAAACAGACGTCCCGTGGGGCGCCCCCTAAGTGGCCACAGGAGATCGGTGTTTGCATGATCCTGTTTAAATCCATCTTAAATAAAAACGATAGCAGCTAGAACATTAATTATTTTTTGTACCAGAAAGCCAAGTTTGTGTTTTTACCTCATCACGCTCATGATGACGTCATAACCTTACGTTACATGCAGAGGAAAATGTGGCAACAACAGGTGGCGGCATCGGGGGATTTCCCTCATCTGCCCATGAGGGATTGTTGTTTACATGTTGGTGTTCAAATCGAAGAACAAAAACCATAACAGCTAAAACATTCAGTCTTTTATCTGGAGAAAGCAAAAGGTTCTGTCATGGATGGATGATTTCCACTGCAGACTTCAAACCAGTCTCCTCTTTGCTTTTCATGCTTTGCTTATAATTTATCTGACTCCACCTTTACCTATGTTTCTCTCTCTTTGTGTCAGATTGACTTACGGCTCTCTTGCTCCTCAGGATGTCGACGTTGCATGTGACTCTGGAGGAATTTGGGAGTGAGGAAGGCTTTATGACAAATTTGACACTGAAAGAAAGAAAGAAAGAAAGAAAAAAACATTAATTTATCACATTGTATAAGAAAACTCCCGTAACTGAGGAAACAGGACAGTTTAAATAAACAGAGGTTTCAGGCTTTGGTCTGAATCTGATCCAGTACAGATCCAGTATTATATAAAATGAATATATCTTTGCAAAACTAAGTGATGGATGAAATCAGTCAACTCATTAAGTCTGTTGATTAATAAGAACCCTCCCTATTAATTTAATAATAAACAGATAATAATCTGGAAATGTACATTTTTCAAAAGGAAACTAGAAACATAAAATATCTAAGCAAACAATAAAACCCAATCGGTCGGTTCTGATTGTAGAGTAAAGTACTGACAGTCTTTCACATGGGGGATAGTAAATGAGGTTTCAAACACATCCCATGGCGACATAAAGCAGCTGACAACTGGAGCGTCCTCTGAGTTCAGGCGTTTGTTTCCAAACACTTGGCGTGAGCGTTGCTGATTTGCTCCCTGCGGCAGGCGTCAGCACAGAGCAGCTCACTGTCGCTTCGCAACTGGAAGAGTTGCTGCTTCTTCTCCACACATATCACACGCTACGTTTCGGCATGACTTCACTCAAAAGTGAAAACTGCTGCTGCTGATAACTCGCCACGCCGTACGGTAGCAAAGATTCAAATGTGATTGAGACGCAGTTACACGTGTGCTTTGATGCAACAGAAGGTTGAAGCGTGTGTTTGCCTTGTAGACGTGTGGACAAGCAACAAACGCTGAACACAACAAACTCTCTATCAATTATTGAGCCACCTCTGTTAGCTGAGCTGGTAGCGCACACCTAGCAACCACAAGCTGTCATGACACACTATATCTGTTGCCCTGGCAACCGCTTGGCCAGGTCAGCAGCAGCCGTACACTCAAAGAACAGGGGGGGGGGGTAGATTTTTGATTTGTGCTATAAATAACCTAATAGCAACTGAGCAACACTGTGCACCTACACAACATTCACAGATATAGAAATGTCTTCAGCGGCAGAGTCGAAGGACAAAAGGCTGGACAGGGACTCAGAATATGAGGGTGGGAGCCAGTCACCATGAGGAATGCTCTGGATTAATAAAACTAATCACCACCATCTGCTCTAGAGCTCTAGATCCTATTCTTTCTGTCTGAAAACAAAGCTTATTAGAACTCAGCCATGGTTTCATCGTCCGCGTCGAAATCCTTTTGAGGGTAAAATGTTTCTCTGATAAAAGCCTTCGCCTGTTTCCCCTTTTCTCTCCGAACCCTCTGAAACGCACAAAGCCGGAGCTGTGAATAGATCTTGGGAACAATGAACGAGCAGGGGCCCCTGGGGAGGAGGAGTGAGGGGAGGTGCGGGGGGTGATGGAGATGCATGTGTGAAATGCCAGTGGTGACCAATTCTGCCATGTCAGCGGTACCTTCTGGCTACTGATGAGCAGCTGGGACTGCAGGTCGCGCACGTCCTTCTTCCTCAGCTTGAGCTCGGCGTCCAGCGCCTTCACCTTCTCCTCCTGCTTGCTCTGCTGCTCCAGCAGCTGCTTGTGCTCCCTGCTCGCCGCCCCCAGCCTCTCCTCCGCCGCGTGCAGATTGAGGCTGAGGAATTCCTGGCAGTGGAGCAGCCACTCCACGGTGAGCTGCGCCAGCTGCAGGAGCTTGAGCAGAGCCGGGTCCACGGGGCTCCGGCACCGCTGGCACCGCTCCCCGTCCAGGCTGCAGAACGTCACCGAGCTGATGTGATCCTGGAGGACGTCCACGTCCAGCTGGCTCATCACCAGGTTTATGTCTACCGCGTTGATCCGCTGCCAGTCCACCATCTCCCTGCGAGGGCGGAATTTGAAGGGGAGGAAGGTGGAGGTGCCACTGGAAGGAGTCATCCCCGCTGCCGGTGCAGAGTGGCCGTTCACGGAGTGCTGGCTGAGTGGTGAATTCAGGAGGGATGGGATCCCCGCTGAGGAGTGGGTCCCCTGGGTGTCACTGGTGTAGGGGTAGTAGATTCCGTTGTGAAATGGCTGCAACAAAGACAAGACACAGACACGGCGTGAGTCACAGACAGCCGAGCACAGACCGATCCACCTCTGACGCTGCCGCGGTCGGCGGGAGCTCCTCTCACCATCTCCGGCTGGTTCCTGCGCCTCTACCGGGGGAAGGGGATCGATGAGCGGCTGCCGCTCTCTGGTTCCGCCCCCTGGTCGTGGCTGTGCGTCGGCCACGTTACCATGGAGACCCGGGCCAGCGTCCCCTGGGGAGAGAGAGGGAGGGTTGTGAAAAAAAACTCTCCAACACTTGAACCTTCTTCTTTTAGACTCTCCAACAACAACAACAGACAACAACAACAACAGACCCGCTCGTGCGTCGGTCGGTGTCACGTCTCCAGAAACATCCACTTCAAGTCGGGGCAGGAAGTTAATCCCCCCGTTTAAAAACACAATGGCGCACATGCTGGAACATGTTCACGAGGAGATTCAAACTCCTGCAGGAGAACAACACGCAGCCTGGGGGGAGCAGCTAGCTCCGGAGGCTAAAGCTCGCTAGCTAACGGACTTTTCTCCCGCTCGTCGCGCGGGATGAAAACTTCTTTAAAACCTCCTCGCTCCTCCTCAAACACCTGGAGGAGTTCCGTATCACGGTTCACGCTGCAGCCCCCCCCCCACCCCCTCCACCCCCGGGACACAGCTACTCACCGGGCGGAGGTTAGTTCTGGTTCTTCTGGACGAAGGGGCTCCGGGAGGTTCGGGGGGGGGGACGTCGACGCTGGGCTCCACATTCCTCCGGGAGAAGCGCGCCATTGGTAACCAGCGCTGGGCTTCCGGTCAGGACCTCCACAGTAAGAGCGGAAACGACTGCAGCAGAGGACAGAGGGAGAAAAACACACACACGTCAGTTTTTATCTATCTTCGGTCAGAAGTAGGAAAAGTTATGGATTAACCTGCAGTGGACACTCAAGGACATGTAGAAACAATTAAAGCACTAGAACTTATATATAATGAAACACACGACCCATTGAATTAAAATGTATATATACCACCAAACATGCAATCCTGTCGCACTGTGTGTTTTCTTTTTATGTGTAATATTTTCTATAGAATCAAGATGTTTCATTGTCATACACACAATAACAGACACAGCGGTTTATTATTGGGCAACGAAATTCTTATTTTGCAACTGCCCGACCAAAGAGCTATGCTTACTAATATAAAAAGAAGAAATATATATAAAATAGGAAATATAAAGTGCACATGCAATGCAAAATATATAAGTAGAATGAGAAATAAGCATAATTAAAATAGAGAATAAGATGACAGATGACCGATCCATGTGAAGTAAGACGGCAATTCAAACAACGTGCATAGATGTAATGTGCAATGTCTTGTGCAAAATTGCAAATATATATAGGTAGATGGTGGTTTTTCCTTGTGTTTAGTAAACGTTAACTTTTCTCTTCAGCCTTTAAATAGATCTCGCCCACTGTGCCGTCATCCATCATTGCTGCTGGTGCTTTGTTTGACTTTATTATGATTCAGTAGATTTCTGAGGCAGCCCTGCAAACATGCAAATGAAGATTGTACCAGCAGAGGTCAGTGTGGATCTGATCTCAGCCCTGCAGAGCCTGTGGCTTCACTGTGGAGGAGAGATGAGGTTTTCTCTCTGTCAGAGGAAATGCTGCTGTGATGGAGAGCAGCTGCAGGAGGCGACACAGTCCTGGCTGTAACAGGAAGCAGGAAGGACACACACACACTTACACATGCATGTATAGTGTGTGCATTCCAGGATCAGTCTCAAATAGTTTGTTTTTAACACAGGATAAAAGGGTGCTTCACATTTAGAAACAGTGCTGCAGCAACAGAACAAAGTGACATAAAGTGTGAAGCATAGGTGTGTGTGTGCTTTAACATTACACACCCTGTCAAGAAACCCCCTGTATGTGAACGTCCCAGCATGTCGACCTCTCCATCAGCGTCCCACTGCTGGAGGAGGACGACTGCGTGCCATTTCCCCGGCCGTTCCCCAGACAACGTCAGTCGACTTCTGATAAATAGAGACTTTAATTCCTGCGGACAGGGTCTGCCACTGTCAGGATAGCCTGAGGCGAGCAGGAGAGACGCTCCTCACAAGCTGTGCCCACAGTAAAGACTCCTGCCAGTGGCATCACAATGAGGCGGAGAGGTTCAGCTGTAGGACAAGATGTGGATGTGCTTGTTTCTGGAGCTCAAATCTCAGCCACACTCACATTTCCCTGCAGTGTTTCTCCTGTAGCCTGCAGGCTGAAGTTGTGGCGCTTACTTGAAAATAACACTTTGTGGAAAGCAGAGGGAGAGTCACCCATGTGGGGCAGAGAAGTGGCGGTGCTGCATTAGTCATGCAGTAAAAAGGAGCAGGGGTGTGTGGAGGAAGAGGAGCAGACCTCTTGAGATGAGTAAGCACAGCTCTACACTCAATTTACTGCTTGATTTATGAGTTCATTTCCTGCTCCAAGTTCTCAGCGGGGGTGAGGTGGTATATCTCTCCGACTATAGGTAGCAGTGGCTCCACTCCCCAATCCCCCATGAGACCCACTCGCACCACTCTGGGCCTTCGTGGGACTATAAATAATGGCCGCTGTAACAAGTACACATTGAACACAGAGCGGAGAGGACGCCTAAACATCTTTATTCATGAAGGAGGTTCTTATCTTCCGCTGCAGAGCACCAGAAGGATTCAGACCGACCGCTGAGCATATGCTGAAATGATGTGTACAGTTACATTGACTGTATTCCTGCTCTCTGATAAGCGTCTTGACATGTTCAGAAGAATCGAATGATAGAGAGGGGGAAACGAGACATTAAATAAGTTTCTGTCTGTGTGATGCAATTTATCACTTCAAATGTACGGAGGAACTTTAGCTCTCAAAGCAATTTAAAGGAGTTTGCTAGAGTGAATTACATCACAGAAGCTTTCGTCAAAGTGCATGGGTTGATTAAAAACACTGAAACTATGTTTTTTTTTCAACATCTGCAGAATTAGCTGTTCGGTTGACTATTTTGTTCTCTGTTTCTGCCGTCATTGAGACGCAATGAATCGTGGGATATGTTGGGCCGGGAAGGATGCACCTCATGGAGCCTCCAAGGTGGAAGGCCGCATTTGGAGGAGCCTTCAAATTGGATGAGTCATTTTAGGTAGCCTAGGTCTCATCACACTGATATTGGTCCAAGTGCTCGTTTTAATTAGTTATTCGATGAGATGAGACATCACGATTGACGGCTGAGACCGACTCACCGTTGGTTGAGCACATGCAGCGTAGTCATTTTAGGGCGTGCTTGCAGTCGTGGGTGCATGGCGGTGCCAGCCTGCTCAAGCTTATGGCTGAAATCCAGACAATTGGAAGTGTCAGCTCAGCAAGAGCGAGCAACTGGAAGCCAAACGGCAATCTCTCCTGCAGCTGCCCACTGGTTTTCATCTCAGACACTTTGTTGTCTATTTTCAACGAGGCTGCCGCAGGGGTCTCAAGTGGTGAATCAGCCTTGTGGGAAGGAGAGATGAAAGAGTGCAGCACTGGGGAGGGGAGAAGGAGAGAAGCATCCCACCGTTTCCTTTCATTGTCCCGTATGAATGTTGCACAGGTCAGAAGATGTACCAGCACTGAAGAATTATATATAGAGACAAATGATGAGGTCTGCACTGATCTGTTTCTTATCCTCCCACTGGGCGAGGACGCCTGGGCTCTAGAGGGCAAATTAGCCACAGCAGCAGCGGTGGATCTTTGGGAGAGAACACAGGTAATGGATGTATAAAATATAGAGGGAGAGTAATGTATGATGAATGTGCTCGTGGGTATAAAACTAAACTCAGACTTTATCGTAAGACAGAATAAACTCCTACTTGTGTCTGCATCATTACTAAACTGCACATTCCCTCTCTCCGATCATCCGTTATTTTCAGAAACAGTGTAAAAATGAAACTGCAACTTCAAGAGGTAAGAAAACCTTCCAACATCGCTATTAAATAAAGAACAGCTCTTATAATCTTTTTTTTTAATCTCTTAAGCTTGAAAATTGTTTTAAACTTTTGTCTCTGTGTTGTGTTTTCTGTCCCTTCACAGCAGCTTGAATCTAACTCTGTGTGAATAATGACTAGTCCAGCTCCTAAATGTAGTTAGAGGCAGCAGTCTTTGCCATATTAGAGACTAAATGTTACGTCTGACAGTTTGAACGGATGAGGACGAGAGCAGGAAAGAGGAGAGCAGATAATGGTCGCTCTCTTTGAGCTGCAACATGTCCTTAGTGATGAGCTGCACGTTTTGACCCAGAGCAAGAAGCGTCTCCTCATGTTCACACAGCCTGAGACAGACCGAGAGACACACAGACAGACATGTGGGGAGGTCGGCGTAGGGAGGAGGCTGTGTGTGTGTGTGTCCTCATCCTCAGTGGTGGAACCTAAGTACATTAACTGACTGAGGTACTTGAATCGATGTACTGCAGTGAGGTGTGCCAGGTTCAGCACTGTTGTGTGGTACATGCCAGATCACTGAGGAGGCTTCCTGAGACTCAGTGGAACAGAGACATGAGCAAAGTCAGCAGCTGCTCCTGTGCTTTTCAAAAACATTATTCCTGCAACGACAAACACTACATTTAATGAATCTATTGTACACTAAATAAAACAACAGGCCATGAGAATGAATACGTATTTATGCAAGTGGCAGTTTCAGTATTTAGCAGAGAAGTGGGAAGCAGCTCAGATGCCTGAGATGTGACTGCATGATATTGATAGCAGAGGGTGCCACTGTACCAAAACAGACTGGACTTGTGGGTGGGTCTCCTGCAGGTGTAGAAAACATGTGTGGCACATATGTAATGCTTTTTCATTTTGGAAGGTTTAAATCATCCGTGTGTCAAAGCCTTTGTTAAACCATAGCATAAAAATATATATGTCTGTGCAGCGTCCTTGAGCAGGAACAGCTGGTAGAGTCGTGTATTGTGTTACTTTTCAACCCTTCAACACAGTCGGGACACTTTGATTTAACTTACAAAACAAATTCTTTACACAATACTCTCAAGTTATTTGCCATGGAGTATTTCAATGAGCACATCTGTTTACCAATGCACCTAAAAACATGAGATATCATAGTGTAGTTTAAATACTGTATTAAAAACTCTCTGGATAGTACTCTCTGCAGGCACAGACACATCTTTACTCGTCTGTGGAAACACAGCACATACTTGAATTGGTGCAAAGTCTGATGAGTGACGGCTGGGATTACTTCATGTTGCTAGGTTACTGTGGTCTGTCGTGCAAGTGCATACTATATATTTATCCACACAGATAGACAACACCTTTTTTTTTTTTTTTTTTTCGTAGCTCAAGCTGCTGCTGCTGCCGCCGCCGCTAGCGCAGTTAGCCGCAGCTAGCTTCTTTAAATGTCCATATTCTCATTATTTTTCTCAGGCCAACATTCCTGCATGGTCTGTCTGAAACGCTCCATTTTAGCTTTTGGCCCAACACCCAATAAATTCCCACAAATCTTTCAGGAGGCGAGCATGTTGCATGTTACAGAACAAAAGGCGTTAGGAAGTTAGCAGAACCTTTACATGCAGAAACAGGAAAAACCAAAAAGCATCATAAGGGCACTGATGACGTCATCTGATAGCATGTCCTTAAAGTTTCCATGTATTTGAATATGTATGTCTCTTGGTGTTTAGACAGGCTGTGATTGTGTTGAGCTGTCGTTACTGTAGCGACGATGATTAAGCCAAATTATCTCACAACAGCTTGCGAGGCCAAGTTACACAGGAATCAACTCGTTCCTTCGAATGATCCAGCGCAGTAGAGGCTGGTTTGGTTTTCACGAAGAAAAGTTTGACGTTATGACGCGAGACTCGCTCTGCAGTTGAATCCACAAAAATAACTTTTTGGGGAAATATTACAGAAACAAATGCTCCACCTGTGGAAGTGTCTATGTCAGTTTTTGCGAAGTCCTCCTTCATCATACTTGGGACGGTCGTGATGTTTGCATTCACGCATGCAGCCTCTCGGGAGAATGTCCAGAGGTTCTCTGGAGTTCAAGTCTGTTTGCTTCCATGGAAAGTGTAATGGTGACACATGGTGTAGATGACCGCTCCACCGTAGATCAGGTGTTGTTAAGTTCTCTCTGCTGCTAAAGAACATGCATTATCTTGTAAACACAGTGGTTAAGCCAAATGTCATAGGACAGATACCTGGAGGGGTTTAGGGAATATCAAAGAGTTAAGTGTCAGTTTCTGCAACGTCATAAAAGAGAAAGACTCGTGTTTGGTTTTCCTCTTCTCTTCATGCCACTTTCGACAGGGAAAGTATTTGCTCATAAAAATTCAAATGCATAACACCACAAAAATAACCTTATTGCTTCTTATTGATGGTCGTTATTGGCGTGCGCACCTTCTCAGAGCGCCACAGTGCTTGTTTGTGTCGGGTTGTTTATTCCTGCATACTCACTGATCGAATATCAAAGACTCACTGGGCAGTTTGGAATCACTGTGGGGTCTGCTTTGTTAACTCCCACTTTAAATGCAGCATGGCAAACATGCAGGCTCATTATTTCAGAATTCCTGATGTGAAATAAATCAGGAGAGTTAGATAAAAATGTTATGTGGCTTTCCATTTATATAAAGGATATGATATTGACATTCAGTGCTTTGCTGTGTCCTGGTTTCCTAACATGTGTTCACCAAAGCAAGTGTCTCAGCTACGAGAGGACAAATGTCAGGTCAGGCACTGACAGCGTTCACCGACGTCACACTGCAGACCAGATCAGAACAGACACAAGGGTTAGATAAATATTTCCCATTGTCCTCGCTTCGCGTAATCAACACGCCACATGAAGGAGAGGCAGCTGAACCGGGTCTAAGCTGGTCCATCTTTCAGTGGGAGCATTCTTGAGTGACAGCTCACCTGCCCTCACGCAGAAGGCACTAAAAACACACATTGTCATCCCTGTTGCAGAGTTATGTGATTCCAGCTCCAGGTTTTATGGTTGCAGACGATCTCGTGGGAGTTTAGGACTCCTCCGATTCAGGGCTACAGGAATGATAATGATAAGAACAAGGAGTTATGGGGCTTTTCTCTGGTGCTCAAAAAGGACACGCACCAGGTTCCAATAAAAACTGGGCTGATTCAGAAGAAACGCACAGTTACAACCTGTTACATCCGCCTTTGAAGAAAAGAGACTTCACCTTGTGTTAATGTACAGAATCTGACTTCAGGTCAACAGGGTATAAAAGAAATGCATTCTGGGCTGATGCCTGATGTGTGAGCAACATGAATGGATGAACAAAATGTAAGAATTCTATTCAAATGTCCGTATTTGGCTCTAAATGCTCAGTGGCACTATACCTTTAACACCAACGTGCTTCTCTGTTGCATCTGTAATGTTTATAATAAATCACTGAACAAATAAATGACTGCTCCGGTTGTTTTCACAGGTGAATCATGGAATGCAGCTCTTACAAGGTGTGTTGCCTCAAGGTAAGAAGTCTCCAATCCAAAGTTTTCCATCTGTCATTCTGAGGGCAAAGTGATGGACCCACAGAGATGCTTCATCCCCCTCTTGTCTGGACTCCAGTGTCATGGCTTCCTTTAGCTCAGTGTCGCCCATAACTATATTTGCCTTGGTCCGAAAGGAAAAGTTAAAGCTCGGCCTACACACGCAGAACAACACGAGGAAGGAACGGGCTCTGTTCACTTCCTTAATCTCTTGAAATCCTTGCAGGTGCTATTTGAGAACACGCTGAGTGCATCGCAGATGTGTGAACACATCTTGTTTAATAATAGATACTTGCACAGAAACTTAAAATGATCATTTGTGAATCCAGGCGCAGTCGCTGGGAGTCTCTCAGTTTCCACCCTGTGCACGTCTGTGTCTGGTTATACCTGAGCCCATCAGTGAAACCAGGTTTTAACATATTGGTCTCTGGACGTGATAGTTGTGGATTTTGTCAGTCTCATGGTGGTGTGCCTGGTTGCTGATCACGTGGAAACTGTTGGATCTGTTTTATCTGTTTCCAGATTAAATGAAAAGCACAGTTGAGATAGATTTTATTACCTCCTCTCTATACGGAGGAATGCTTTCATTGCCATTTGTCTGGCTGTTAGCAGGATCATGCAAAAACTACTATACCGATTTTCTTCAAACTTGGTGGAAGGGTGGAGAGAAGGCCAAGGAAGAACCCATTCACTTTTTTACTTTCTTTAATATCCCGAGAGGCGTTTGACTTGGCGGAGGGATGTGCTCTCTTCCAGTTTTTTTATTTTTGACCGTGCCACCTGCATTTAGCCTGGAGCTGTAGTTCATTAACCACGTCTCGACTCCACCTCCGAGTTTAATCTGGATATCAATAGAAGTAATTATTTAAATGTCATTACCTCTGCCTGGGTGGGTTATGATTCTGCTACTGAACAGATTTTCTTGAAATCTGGTGGAAGGACATCGGCCATGAAGAACCTTCGAAGCACATTTGCAGCAGGATTTTTTTTAATCACTCTAAATAATTCAGAGATCTTCACGATAAAGAGCTAATATCTATGAACACGTGAAATTTGATGGGGATCTGGATAATGATCTGTATGAATCTGATCTCAATACAAACTGTAAATATGCAATATGGTGATAAAGTGGTGAGTGCTATTATTCAACCTGTTTTAAACACAAAGACCAACAAAGTAAAATAGTCTCTGTGTGTGTGTGTGTGTGTGTGTGTTGGGGGCTCTGTCTTGTCAAGGGATTTCTCCAACACTCTGCCCCAAAATGGGAGTGATCTTTAAAAAGGGCTGGCCCTCATTTTATTTAGTGCAAGTGCAGAATGGCTCCACTTTGAGTCTTATGAGAACCAGGATACAGAGCAAACTTTTGACTGCACACTGCTGCTGCTCCCTCTGCTGAGCCTCCTCACCTGACCTGAGACTCTTGATGACTTTGACGCTCGGCACATGGAAGCAAACTATCTTTGAATGAAGAACCTCACCTGCCTATTTGCACTTTCTGTCTGAATTTCTTTTCGCAGCCAGGAGAGCTGTACAGAGCTGATCACGTTGGAGACCTAAGTCAGCAACATTGTGAGTTATGCATGCCTGACTCTCTAATACGCATGCTTGTTAAAGCTTGTTCTCTGAGTGTGTGCAGGTTTTGCAGAGGGTAATAAAATGTGAGGGCATGTCTGGGTTTTTTTGTTTTTTAAATCCATCTCTGTATTTTCTTTATGTCTTAGGGGAATGATGGTCCCCTCACTGCTCTGGCTCCTGATGCTGTGGGGACCTCAGGGTCTTTGGGCTCAGGACTATGACGAGGACTATGAAGAAGAGGTGGTGACCACCAGGAAAAAGACCAAACTATATCCATCCAATTCCATACCACAAAAACCCAAATGTAAGTCTGACATACTCTGAAATTCTCCCTTTTTACCACGTACGGTTCTGCAGAACCTTAAAGTCGAGGCTCCATTTGTTCCATTCCTGTAAAAAAGGTGCTGCCACAAGTGAAGAAATAGAACATGATACTCAACAAGGACATGCTGAAAGATGCACTAGGACTGATCACATCTTTCAGGCTTCTCAGAACCATTCATCTCCTGTGTGACTACTCAGCGCTCTGCTACCCAAATGTTACACTCGCTCAGAATCCTGTTTCCCCAGGCACATTCTCCCTGTGACATATTTCCGTGAAGATTAATGTGATTTATCCTCAGCCTATATTAGATCTGCAACCTCCTTCCATTGCTGAAGGTTGGTGCAGCAAGTTCAGTTACTTTTATTCCCACTTCAAAATGATATGTCACATTCATGAAAGCCTAAGTGGTCAGTAAATCACCTTAAGCTCCTCTGGCTCTGCAGATGAAATTTCCTCCTGACTTGTAAAATATGTTTGGCTATGAAGATAGTTGGGTCTTTGTGTTTCGCTGGAAATGACAGCAATGGTTTCCTCTTATATCAGTTTAGCACAGAACACCGTGTGCAGTTATCATAAGTTTCTTAGAATGTGTGGATTCAAACTGCTGCTCTAACTCTTGGCCAGAAAGCAAACTATTTATAATTCTCATAATGGGAAACTATTGTTGTGATATCACAAATGTGCAACTTCTCTTTTCTCTCAAGCGCTCATTGACGAGGGCTGCGGTTTGGAGTTAGCCTTCCTGATTGACAGCTCAGAGAGCGCGAAGGACAACCATGCCCAGGAGAAGCTCTTCGCCTCAGATGTGATGGACCGCCTGCAGGGCCTCCGGCTGCAGACCGGCCGCAGTCTCACCTCCCGTGCGGCGCTCCTTCAGTACAGCAGCCATGTTATCATAGAACAGACCTTTAAACAGTGGAGAGGAATCGACGACTTCAAGGCCCGAATCGCTCCAATCGTGTACATCGGTCATGGCACCTACACGACCTACGCTATCACCAACCTCACGCGCATCTACCTGGAGGAGTCGGACGTCAGCAGCATCAAGGTGGCCATTCTGCTCTTCGACGGCATCTCGCACCCCAGGAATCCAGACATATTTTCAGCTGTGGCTGACGCCAAGAACCAGGGCGTGCGTTTCTTCACCATAGGCATCACACCCGAAGCCAATGAGCCAACCAACATGGCTCAGCTGCGGCTAGTTGCTAGCTCCCCCGCCTCCCGCTACCTTCACAACCTGCAGGACAGAGGCATCGTGGAGAAAGTCATTCAGGAGATCGTGAGTAAAAACACTCTTTGGTGTCAAATTGCCTGCACAAGTAGAGGTAGCGACGGTTCTAGATTGGACGCCCCAAACATTTTGGTTTCAGTGGAGGAACCTGAGGTCAACCCCCCCCCCCCCCATTTACTCTCTCAACCATATTATCCCTTTAACAGAAATTCTAGCCTTAAGTGGGATTAGTCTCTTAATTATTAAAGGAACTTTCATTCATTAACGAATGAGCTCAGCTCAGAAAAGCATTGTGACAGAGATTTTCTCATTTACCCCAAATACTTGCAGGATTGTGTAAAGAACTTAAATTCAGTGCTAATCGTTCACATTAAACGTAGATGACAGATCTGACAGGGATAAATATACATGTTTTGGTGAACATCACATGTTCAGACCTGCCCACTGTCTAATACTAATCATTTTCCAGCTTTAATGTTTCTCATGTACATTTCTTGGCACTTCACACCCAGTGGAATTCCATGTATGTTTGATAATTGCTCATGACTGGAGGACAGAAATTTATGACAGGAAGCTTCCAAACAGTTATTATGCAGACAGATATCTGTCTATCACATGAATAAAATGGTAGTTTCTTTGACCTCTCCATGTAACCCACTGTGGCACCGTGGCCCACTGCATCCCCACTGCTGCCACGGGGTTAGTTATGCTCTCCCCACCCAAATCATTCTTCAGCCACACACAGAGAGTTATCTTGATTTGTTCCTCTGCACTCGAGTGATTGGAGTCACTGGTAATGTATCCCCCAAAGAAACAAGATCGAACATGTGCTGCACACGCAACCAGGCTTTTGGCTGCAACATGTGCTTTGAATTTTAAAGTCTTGTGTGTGAAATTGGGCGCAGTAAGTACAAGAACCCAGGGAGAACATGCACGCACGCTACATTGTTTGAGCAGCTCCTCAAACGCCACTTGGAAATCAGGCTTGCTGTTGACACAGGTGGTACACACCAACATGATAAGGGACAACTTACTAGAAAACAATCCCTGGAGCAGACAGGCTGCACGGTGCCGGCATGCAGACCCCCAGCAGCAGCAGCAGCAGCAGCTCCACTCAGACGTTCATCATTCCTTTGTGCAGGCAGCATCTGTATGTCATAAGCATGAGTCTCAGTTCCTGAGAAGAGGAAGCTGTCTTTTATCTCTGGTCGTAGCCCTCCATTGTATTTCTCCATCCTCCAGGAATGGACAGACTGTCTGTTGTCTTCAAACACCCCCTCCCCACATTTCATCCCCTGGATGCGTCGGCTATTTTACTGATCAATGCATGTGGTTTGTGTTTAGTCTCAGAGGAATATGGAACATTCCCCATTGTGTAAAGAATGTGGTCAGCTTTGAAGAGGGAAGCAGCCACCGGGGTGAAAACCAGGGCTCTGGCGGGATCTGTCTGTTACAAGAGTTAGTGCGAGTCCGCTCGCAAGAGGCCTTTTGAATAATGTAGCGTCGCAGTGAACGCCATGTTTAGTGGGTGTGCACAATTCACAATCGTGTTCCTTTCACATCACAATAAAAGATGGGCTCACGTTATGTTTCTGTTAGCTGGTGGGGTTTGAGTTAACATCAACAATATGGAGTTCATCTAATAACAGCCTGACGTTGTGTTGTGTCTCTTGCTCTACAGACGGCGCTGGCAGATGAAGGGGTAAGTCTCATGACTGCTGTCTCATATCTGGATTTGTGTCCCTGTGAGGCCTGTCTGACTCTCACCTGTGTTTGAAGTGTCCCCTGGCCCAGAGCAAGTGTGCGTGCGACAAGGGAGAGAGGGGTCCCAGCGGCCCTCCTGTAAGTATTACCCAGAATTCATATGTTCACTCGTAATCAGGAAAGAGATAAGGTTGGGTTTAGTCACTCTGCCTGTGTGCCCAGATCATTGTCTATTTTGAAATAAAAATGACTGTACGAGTAAAAATAACTCAAATTCAGAAAAATGACTTGAATGTTTAATATTTTTCAAAGCCACTTTGCTGCGGCAGTGAACGTAAAGCTGAGGCCAGACATTCCTCGAAGCGTTTACTGGGAGCAGGCCTAAACACATAGTGAATTTACATGGGGAATCAGCAGAATCATGTCAGGAACAAACCACTCGGGATTGTGCGAGGACACATGCAGAATCAGATGTTACATGCATGACTTTCTTCGCCTGCCAATGCCTTGTCGTGACTGAGAAGGTCGACCACAATTAGACGTAGCGGTTTCGCTTTGATGTATCTTCACTGGATGAGAAGCGAGTAATTACCCCCTTGAACCTAATGCTCTGAACAAAAGCTGTTTCACATCAGGGGCAGCGGTGACGGAAGCAGAGGATGCAGACAGACATGCAGAGAGGGGCTTTCTTGAAAGAGGAGAACATTCACAGTCCACGACACACATGCATGAAAACAGAGAAGAGCCAGACAGTTGCTCGGGCTCCCAGACTCTGTGGCCTTTGTCCATCAGGATGCATGGAGAACAAGAAGAGCTCTTTCATTGCTGAACACGAAGCTGCCGAGCTCACTGAAACTGAAAAGAGTAGTTTGACATTTTGGGACATGTTCACTGTCCTCACTGCGAGTGCATTAAATCACACCGTGCAGGTTAAAACCAGGCTGTGATAAAATGTCCAAAGAAATTTCGATTGAAAGACATTCTGAATCCGCTGCTGCTCCGATTTGCCCCCTCCACTGTCTTCGTCTCCATGGCAACAGCTAATGTTCAATTCCTCACCACGTGGAGTCAAAGTCTGAAACTGCGGAGGCTTATTGGACTGAGGTTGTATTCTGAGGTTCATATTATAAAGGTATTCTACGTGAGCTGTTTGAGCAAATACCCAACTAAAATGCAAAAGGTACGAGTGCACCAAAACACCAGTCGGATGCGCAGCTGTTTTCTCATGTTTCCTAAATTAAATCATTTTCTTCACAGGGCAAGAAGGGCCGTCCTGGAGAGGACGGAAGTCCTGGTTTCAAAGGAGCGAAGGTGATGCCTGCTCATTAACCACCAGTTATTGTTTAATCAAACTGCATAATTCAGAGCTGATGCCTGTTAAATATATTACTGATATCTTTCCTGGTAAAAGTAGAATCCTTGTTTTTCTTAGGGGGAGAGTGGTCTCAGTGGACTTCCAGGTCGTGAAGGAAGTGAGGTGAGATGAAGTTCTTAAATCAAGTTGTTGATAAGTCGTCAAACGCAGGATAATTTCAGTACAAATTAAAAAATCATCTTCCGCTCAAGTCGTTGCTGTAAATAGAGACAGGTCTCTTGTGGTCTGATGTTTTGGTTGCTGCTCGTCTCCTCCTGACTTAACAAGACTGTTCTGTACACACAGGGGAAACCAGGATACAAAGGAGAGCAGGTATCGTATGGATTCTACTGTAGATTCTCTCAATGTCTGCTGATGGTTTGTCAAAGTATAGAGTTCCCACGCTGAAGCTGTGAGAGAAAATGAAGAATTATCATGTTTTCCAGATGCTCGGGTAGAGATAATACACACAATCATCACAGCAGTGTGTACATCTGTGTTTAATGTCTACAAGTGTCTCTATCTTCTTCCCCTCTGAAGGAATTTAAGCCACAAGATTTTAATTACAAGGATCCTATATTATTATAAGTCTTAATACTCATTACTCCAAGATAACCAGTTGGAAATTGCACTCTGGCATGAACTGGTCATTAGAAAAACAATGTGCTGATAAGTATGAAACTGTATTTATGAAACTGTGTTTGTTCTCTTACAGGGGGAAAGAGGGGAGTGTGGGACGCCTGGGATTAAAGGAGACAGAGTATGTTACCCTTTAACCCGAGTTAGACTCACACTGTTTTATGTTGACTTGAGTTTGGCTCATGTCCCATCCGTCCTTATATTCAGTCTATGGAGGTGATAACATTTATTTATGAAGTGAAATATTGTTTTATGATTAAAACTGACTAAAGTTTATCCTCCATACCATTTCAATCTATATTTTTATCGATCACATTATAAGTGAACCCACCAAACAGAAACCACTTAAAGATGAAAGTATTGCTCATGATCATCATGGATGAGGAATTTAATTTCTCCTCTTTTCCAGGGTCCTGAAGGAAATGTTGGCCCGAGAGGAAATCGTGGTGTCCAGGTGAAATCTACTTTCTATTTATCATCAATTCCAGTTGACTGACACTTGACACCTGCACAAGATTTCCATTCTAACTCGTATACGCAGTTCACAGTGAGATTCAGATTCTGAAATTCTCAGTAATCTTTTTTAAACAATGGCTGAGTGAGTCATTCATTTTCACAGCTGTAGAAGCAGCAGGCACAAGCAGATTTTCACAGATGTTTTTCCCGTCAAGTGTCAATAATACATCTGTTCCCCTGCAGCACGCAAAGAAATGTTTAACACTTATTTACAATTCAGGGTTTGCCTGGTCCACATGGTGATATCGGACCTGAAGGTGCAATGGGTAAAAAAGTAAGTATTCCTCTGTTTGATGCTTCTGAAATCTGTGTTGAATATGTATGAGGTGTGTACAATAGATAGTGAGTCAGAGTTTCCTATCTGACTGGTTCTCCTGTCCAAGTGCATTGATTAAAGGTGACCTGCAATCTCAAAACCAGATGCATATCTGCAGGATGTCTCGTTGGATGCAACTCTTTTCCAGTCTGGGTTTAATTAAGTTTCTTTTATAGCTGTATGAAAAAATGTAACCTCAAAGATAATGAATAACCCTGGAACCTGAGAGGTGACGGGGTTAAACATGTGGTTAAAAACGACATGTGACAGAATGTGTGTTCTCTCCGTTCTCACAATCACATTACTCACGAAGTTGACATTTAAAACGAGTTCAGATTAAGTCGATCTCTCACATAGATAATATCACAAATGTTAAGTAGCCCTACACACTAATTGCTTGACCATATGTGTGAATACTTGTGAGTTATGATCCATCCCCAGTAAAACATTTTGAAAACCTTTCTGAAGTACCTCATCTGTTATTACCTTGTCAGCCTATTTGTCTGGCCCTATTTTTTAGCCCCTCTCCCTTCTTATAGCTGCCAATTCCGCCATGAGCGCACACTCCCCACCAAGTGTTCCCTCCTTAATTATTTTGGAAGAATGTTCATGTTGATTGTCTGGCTGTCATCCTATATCACTTGAACAGCAGACTAATGTCTGGCTTTAAACATTGTCCCAACCTGCCTGAAAGGGCAAGGGAAGGAAAAAAAAACGTGTCGGTATGCACCTACTAACAATTCCACGCCCTCTCTGCGTGTCTTAAAGTGCCCTACTGCTGCACACCGTGGCTGTGATTTACAGCTTCCCTGGAAATAATTGCATTTTTTCACAATAAAGTCTTGAAGGAATGAAGGGACCCTGTATTACATTTCGAACCGCCTTTAAAAATAGCTGAAAATTAGAGGATGGAAAAGTAGTTTGTGTAAGTGTGAAGAGGAAGAGAGAACCAGGGCAGCTCTGCTGTTCCGTCCATATGAAAATGAAGCCAAGGATCAGATTCAAACAGCTAGAGTGTGTGTGTGTGTACTTGCCCACGTCTGTCCCTGCCTGTCTTTTTATAGGGGGAAAGGGGACTTTCTGGGCCACCTGGAATCCAAGGGGAAACTGGGATCGGCCTCCCGGGACCCAAGGTGAACTCTGCCACCCTTCTGTGCTGGAAAATCAAGTCATGATCGCATAATAATCCACCTCACCCACGTTTGTGCACCCCTCTCATTCTCTCGCTACTCCGCAGGGTGATGTTGGTTTCCAGGGGCAACCGGGGCTCCCCGGCCCTCCAGGTCTTGGCGAGTCTGGACCTCCGGTGAGTACGATGCCAGCTGTGAGACTGAGGGTAAAGCTGCATGTGCTTTTGCACTGCACTGGGTGAAATATAAACATGTGTGATAGTGCGAACCAACCAAACAACTTACCAGTCGAAAAAGGTTGTATTTTTCTTTGTCCTCCATCATTCAGACATTTCTCTTTTGTTTTAAATCAGGGGCCTCAGGGGCAACAGGGAGTCCAAGGTGAGAGAGGGCCACTGGGAGAAGGTCTGCCTGGACCAAAGGTGAGTTAGTGTTCATGTATTTTATGCCTCATGCTCATGCACTAAAACCTTTGAGTCCTCTTGACCCCATCTTCATGCATTCATTTCACTTCACCCACCAACCCACTGACCTGCACGAAGCCCTCATCTGGGCTCCAGATTTCAAGGTCGTCATGAAAGGAAATTGACAACGTGTACGGTTACAACGGCTGACAACACTGAGGTTTCATAAATTCACATACGTCAGTGCAGCATGGCTCCGATTACCTCATGGAGTGACCCGGTCCATTGATCGTCCCCAGTAGAGGACATGAGAACACACCAGGGCTGAGTAGATATGGCAATAAGACAGGAAAAGAGCCAGGACACCTCGAGACATGACAGAGGGAGTGACTCAGAAAGAGATGAAAGAATGAGTTTGTTTCCTGCGTCTGTGTCTTCTCAGGATGTACACACACACACACATATGTACAGACACTATCACACAGGTGCACATGGGCAGAGGTTCCAGAGTAAAGGCTGAGGTGCAGGTTCCATTCTGCAATTACACAAATGTTTGAGACAGACATTAGGAAACGATCTTTCCCCATCAAAGTGTCACGTCTTGTTTTCTTAAGGAGGTTCTGAAACAGACCATCAAGTAAAACCTTCATGTGGGACATCAAACAGTTACATCAATTAATAATATGTGAAAAATCAATAACTTTCTTCTCACAGAGCGAAGACAGATGACTGTGTAGGTTTATCAGCATCATCTGTAAAACAGAACAAACCCTTTTGTTGTCTGATAAATGCAGACGGTAAAACTAAGTGTGATTAAGTCGGTGGAATTCCTTTAGGTCACGACGAACCCAATCACTCGCTGGCTTTCTTACAGTATCAACAGATAGGCCTTACATCAGAGGGCGCAGTAACTTTAATTCAGGTCCAATTCTTATTCTTTCCACTCGCTCCAGGCCTTCATCCAATTTATCATCTCCACTTTCCTCGCGGGGATGGTAACAGCTAGTTTTCACCCTTGAACAGGCGGAGGTGCATCCACCCCTCCCCCTTGTAAAGATTGGCCTCGGGGGTGCTTGTTTTTTCCCTCAGCACGAAATTTGACCGCAGATGGCGTTCTAGCTCCAAAGCAGCGTTCCTCGCATGACGTGTGCCGACAAGCTCCGGATTCACAGGAGCTCATCAGCAGTATTATGCTTTTTCCACATCATTAGCACCTTGGTTTGTGTGTCAAAGTCAGGGAGCAAGAGTTGGGACAATAAATCTGTAGTTTTAAAAGATAAGACACACACTCCTGTGTCTGGCACTTTATTTCTGTCATCCTTGTGTGACCTCAGGAGACAGGGGATTGTCTCTGCAGTCAGTCAGACACTTTTTTATTGTACTTACTGTCAACTGATCTAATTCCTCACTGAATTGACACCCTAGTTCCCCTGCAGACACTTGAAGACATATGCAGTGTGATACTTTGCTTGGAATTATATTTGAATAAATATTCTTTCTGTTATGATTTCATGAATTAGTCAGTAAACCACAGAGAAGGCTCGACCACTTGTTCTCCCTCTGTGCAGAAGCTATCATGCAGATATTATCGTGCCTCAGGCTTCTGGCCCAGTTACACACACTGAGTACGTAGCAACCACACACCGAGAGTGAGACCAAGTTAAAACCACACACTGTAAACAACGAAGACGGCTCATCCAAAAGTGAAGCCAAAACATCTCTATTGACATCTACTAATGCTAATGATTGTTTCTCTGATGATGCTGTGACTGTGATGGTGTAACTTTTCTGTGTCTCCACAGGGAGAGCGAGGCTTGGAGGGGCCACGAGGGCCCAGAGGACAGCCGGGCGCTGGAATTAAAGGCGACAAGGTAGAACAGAGTGGCTGTAAATAAGACGCCTCGCTGAAAAGGCCTTCACACTAGCATGAGGACAAAGAGTGTTGTTGTGAAGAAGGCCAAGTGTTGGCAGAATCACCAACTAACACTTTCAGATTCAGGGTCAGAGCTTGGAGGGTGAAGGAGGAACGAGGCTTCTTGGTTTACTCTGGGAGTCTGCAGCCGTATTCTCTCTAGCTCTCAGGCTGCGTTTGACTGGGAGACTTTAAAATGAGATTAGATTCATCTAATGTCACCGGAAGATGACGTGAAAATACTTGCCGAGCGTTGTGATGACAGTTTTATCGCAGCTGCGAGTGGAAGTTCATCGAGATAATTGCAACGTGTTCTGTGGGGGGGGTTTAACATGCATTTACAATGACGCTGCAGCATGTGACCGATGCAAGTATTGTAACATGCAAATTGAGTTATGTGTATATAAAGATTTTACTGCGTGAAAGTACTCATGCAGTGCAATAAACAGTACATATTCATTACTGAGCCATAAGGAGACACAGGATGTTGGCAAAGGAAACAGGTGCTTTCCACATGCAGTAAATCATTGGAATGTGAGTACTATTCTCTGTCAAGCTCTCAACATTGACAGTTATCATTATCTATTCTTATATCCATAGGGGGATTTTGGACCTCCAGGTCTTCCTGGACCCCTCGGACTCCCAGGCGTGGGCATACAGGGTGAGAAGGCAAGTACTTTACTCATACCGTGACTCCTGCTGTGGATTCAACTGCAATGAAACTATACTTTATCTCGTTACTAAGTTCCTTCAACGTATTGGACATTTCACTTCACCGCAGCTTGTATGAAGCAGAATACTTACTTTTCGTGTGGATTCTTTTCCATAGATGCTTTTGTCTTTTATTAGAAATATTATTTTATTCACCACTTCATCTGTTGGTCCTTCCAGGGTGTAGAAGGACCAAGGGGGCCACTAGGAAGCAGAGGCCCACCAGGAGAGGGCTTGCCTGGACCCAAGGTGTGTACATACATAAAATACTGTTTCAGGGGCTCCAGAAAAGTGTCCCCACTCCCCTGAGCCCAGTGTTTAATATATAATCTTTTTTTGTTTCACACAGGGAGACCAAGGGTTGCCGGGTGAGGTTGGCGCTCCAGGGGATAGAGGGGCTGGAGACCCTGGAGCTAAGGTACGTCAAAGCACTGTGCTAAATTTCACATCAACAACAACCGTCTATACTTTCTTCAGACCTAAAAATGTCGACGTATCCACAAATGTGTCCTCAGGGTGAGCCAGGATCAACAGGAACGTCGGGTCTGCCCGGGTTGCCAGGAGAGGACGGGGCTCCAGGACAGAAAGTAGTTTGGACATTGTCTCCTCCAATATTAAGCCTGTAATAATGATCTAAAGTCAATTCAGTGAATGCATACGTGTGTTTTTGTCATCAGGGGGAACCAGGATCTTCAGGTCTCAGGGGCCTAGAGGGGGCACCTGGAATTGGCACTCAGGGGGAAAAGGTACAGAATAAACAAGGGGCATTCCCTGCACACTGTTTTGCCCGTGTTGCACCTCTATAACCTCTATGTATGATAAGTTAAGCCTCTGCTAACGGATCACTAATTGCATTCCAAACGTTTATCTTTTAAGGGTGACCAAGGCCAAAGAGGAATAAGAGGTTTGACCGGTCCGCCTGGCATCGCTGGACCCTCCGGACCAAAGGTGAGATGCCACTGAGACCCTGTTTTGAGGCTGTTGGAATATAAATGGCAAGAGATCCGTTAATGATAATAACACATTGTTCTTCATCAGGGAGAACCAGGAGCACAAGGCAGGGGAGGTCCTCCTGGTCCACAGGGGCGTTTCGTTGTTGGACCCAAGGTAACTACGACTTTAGAAAACTGTTGGAGCCTGTTACACTGACTGCACCTTTCATTTCATATCTCTGAGAGTTGGCATGTTCATACACTATTGTTTCTTGAGTTCATGTGGAACCATTGTATCTCATGGCTTTAGCAAAACTCTTCATCCATATGTGTCCCACGTGTTCTAGGGTGATCTTGGCCCCGGTGGTCCTCCTGGTCCGATTGGGGAAACTGGCTATGGACTTCCTGGTCCAAAGGTGAAGCTCAGTATAAACAACAATGATTACACACACTTGAAGTTTTCATTTTCAACGAACAAGTACAAGCGTGTTGTCATAGCTGAACAGCCTGTGTTTGGAAAATCTATTATCCAATGAAATGTAATGAGAGGCAGCACATGTGCAGTTTTCACCCTTGGGTTAATTTCCCAGCAAGAACAGAGACGATGACAAAAAGGGTCGTAAACGCAAAGCTACATCCTGTTTTTCTATTTTTCAATAATTATAGTGAGGCACAGCAAAAAACAGCGAATGTACTTTCGCAGTTACTTTGTTTCCTTCGCATGAATAAATGATTCACTTCACCGTGTCTGTGTGCTGCAGGGTGACCGTGGAGATTCAGGCCCACCAGGTCCGTTTGGTCCCAAAGGAGACGGCTACCCCGGCCCCACAGTGAGGAACCCGTTCAGTCACTGCCTGTCCACTCCTAAAACTCTACCGTAGACTGCTATATTAAGATGGACGACATGCCCGCCCCCCCCAGAAGTGAAGCCAAAAACCTCGTCTGTAATATCGTGTTAGAAGATCAGACATGGACCAAACTAAAGTCAAAATACACTTCGCATTCATTATTTTAGGAGGTTCTTATCACACTGATGTATGATCCAGTGTTAGTCTGGTTTTAAACAGTCATTTGCTATAAAATATTTTGGCTTCATTTCTGGATGTAGTTGTAGGATAAATGCTGATGTGCTTTTTTCGCATTAGGTGAAAAGATCAGAACTGTGAGCTGTGTGTTCTAACTTCATGTCCTGTGTTGTTTAGGGCCCTCCTGGTCTGCCTGGACTGACAGGAGAGCCCGGCCAAGAAGGAGTCGGCGTCCCGGGTCCAAAGGTGACGACTTGGTTCTCTGATATCCAGAACAATGTTTGACGTGTTGGGGGCAGAAAGTGATGCTCTTCATTTTCATTGTGTTTCACGTGAGGCCAATATTAGAAGTGTAATTTCAATGTGTTCAAACTGAAACCTGGGCCAAACCAAATGTCAGGTACTGTAAGATCAATTAGAAAGCTACGATGAAAGGTTTGGTCATTTGTTAGAGGAAAGTAATTAAAGGCAACAAGATTTATCTGAGTTAATTTGTCTGATGGATTGTGCTGCGTGTAAGTCGTTATATATCTTCTGTGTTTTTTCCTCTTTGCAGGGGGATATTGGTTTCCGGGGGTTGCCTGGTTTACCAGGACCTCCGGGCGAAGGGCTCCAAGGACCTCTGGTACTTGATACAGATTTTTCTTGTGTCTAAAATTATTTCAGCTTCGACTTTTCATTAAAATTTTTAACTCATAAAAAACAGTTTTTCTACAAACACAAAGTCAATATTCACAGGAAGCTTCGGTCATTGAACTTGACACACGAGCAGATGGTCGTGATTGAGTCATATTCTCTGCAGAATTGTGTTTTAGCAGCAGTCGGAGCTCCGGAGTGAAAAACGTTTCTTCATCCGGTGTTTGAACATGCCCACCACAGGAGCCTTGTATTCAAAGGCTGCCACTTCATTTGCTCCGGGTATTTATCACGATTTTCCCTGCAGCTCTCTGACACATCGGAGCAGAGTGAGAATCTCCACGGACATATGTGTCTGATGGGAAGCACTTGGCCTAACGGGTCTAAATGAGGCGACTCTCAGCCCCCATATGTCCTCAGATATCACATCCACGTTCCACCGCAGGCTTCAGACCAACGTCTCTGCAGGACTGAGCCCTGTCACAGCCGTGCAGCAGCAGGCAGGATTTAATTGACAACTCGACTAATGACGTAAAATGAGGCAAAGCGAAAAAAAGCTGAAAAAATGGCGGTGTCAGAAATGACTCAGTATAATAAACGAGGGGTAATCATCACCTCAGATTTGATATTTTCTAGAAAAGGCTTTTCAAAGTGTTTTACATTTATTTTACATCGTCACCTGACCCCAGAGTTGAAAACCAAACCAAAGGTTATTTATTCATGTTCACACTGCAGGGTCACTTTTATTCTCTTTCGTTTTTCTTTTCAAATCTTATTCATGTCACTGTTTGTGTGGTTCTGTACAACTGAACTTGTGTTTCCTTACAGGGTAACCCCGGGCGACCTGGTCCATCGGGGCCAATGGGGCCACAAGGACAAGGAGTTCAAGGGCCAAAGGTTTGTTTATTATAATATGATAATCTCAGTAGTTTAAACAGAAGTGAGCTGTGTTAGCATTCTACCTGTGGCTCTGATGTTTCTGCCACTGATATTGTTGAACTGTGTTTGATTCAGGGTGAACAGGGGTCCCAGGGTGTGACAGGGCCAAGGGGGCTATCTGGAGAGGGCTTTCCTGGAGCTAAAGTGAGTTTAGACCTTTGACTGTGGGGCTGAGTGAACGTATTCGGCTCTGATCACTGACTTGTTGCCACGCAGGGTGACCGCGGCTCGGCCGGGGAGAGAGGGTTGAAGGGAATCAGAGGTGACATGGGAGATCCTGGAACCCCGGGACAACCAGTGAGTGATGTGATTTGTCCGTTGACTGTGAGCTGATGTGTGAGCAGCAAAAACATGTCAAAGAATTCTGTTCTAACCCTCGTTTTAGCAAATATATGTCCGTTAATTTGACAAACGTTGCAAGAATGCTCTCGTTTCTTTTTGAAATGTCTGTATCTTAGGGCCGAGTTGGTATCAAAGGGGAAGCTGGACTCACTGTGAGTCTTCTCATATGTTCACGCACTTTTTTCGTTCTCATCCTCTCATGTTTATTCATGTGCTCATAGCATGTTGGTGTGTTCATTTCAGAGAGAGGACATCATTCGAATGATCAAAGAGATCTGTGGTGAGCGAACTCTGCAGTATTTATCTCCAGCACTGAGCCACTGTCTCGTGTTATCTGTAGATCATCAGATCAGATTCCGCAGACTGAACCTCGTCAAAGTGACATTTCAGTCATGAGCTCATTTTGTGATTCCAGGATGTGGGATCAAGTGTAAGGAGAGGCCCATGGAGCTGGTGTTCGTCATTGACAGCTCAGAGAGCGTGGGCCCTGAGAACTTTGAGATCATCAAGGACTTTGTGAACGCGCTAGTCGACCGGGTCACGGTGGGTCGCAACGCCACCAGGATCGGCCTGGTGCTGTACAGCCTGGAGGTGAAGCTGGTGTTCAACTTGGCTCGCTACGTCACCAAACAGGACATCAAGCAGGCCATCAGAAACATCCCGTACATGGGAGAAGGCACAAACACAGGCACGGCCATTCGTAAAGCCACACAGGAAGCCTTCTACAGTTCACGTGTGGGAGTCAGCAAGGTGGCCATTGTGATTACTGACGGCCAGACGGACAAACGGGAGCCGGTGAAGCTGGACATCGCCGTACGAGAGGCACACGCCGCCAATATTGAGATGTTTGCACTGGGGATAGTGAACACCACAGACCCAACACAGGCGGAGTTCCTCAGAGAGCTGAACCTGATCGCTTCTGACCCAGACGACGAGCACATGTTCCTCATCGATGACTTCAACACTCTGCCAGGTGAGACTTGCGGTTGATGTTTACACGTCAGGAGGAAATGTGTCACAGATATGCGATATCGTGTTGACGTTACAGTCGAGATGGTTTCTGCAGCCACTGAACTGAGACGCAGCTCATGTGTTTTTAGATCGAGGGACAGTCGGATCACAGGGAGAACTCCCTCAGACAGAGTTTCTAGACTTTGTATTTTTAATTCAGGTCTTCATCATACGCCCCTCGTTCAAATGAATGTGCGAATTCAGAATAAAAAGTCACAGCCCGACTAAACATCAGTCACCACAGTAATCCTGCAATCTGCCTCTGGCCTCTCTCTCTGTGTCTGTCGGTCTCAGCTCTGGAATCCAAGCTGGTCAGCCAGTTCTGCGAGGACGAGAACGGAGCCCTGATATACAACAGAATAACCAACGGCTATGGAACCAACGGCCACAGGAATGGCATTAATGGGAAGTTCGCCACCGGTGGCTATGGATACCGTCCTGCGACCGAGCAGGGAGCAGCGAGCGACCGGCACAGCGGCACCAGCACCCACACCCTCGGAGGCCAAGGGGAGAGCGCACGGCACGGCAGTAAAGGATCCAGCACAGCTCATGTACGAAAGATAAGAATGAACCTTTATTTAATATTATATCTGTTTAAAGTGTTTTACAGTTTTGTCTGGTTTCAGGGCGGAGGAGGAGGAGGAGGGCAGCATGTCCACACTGAAACAACAAACAGGGGAACGGAGCGCGGGGACACATTTAACCGGGAAATAGATCTCGAACCTGTCCATTCTTCCAGAGGGGAGTCCACCAGGAGGCGAGGATCATCTTCATCTTCATCATCCTCATCTTCTACAAATGTAACCACGTCATCCTCAGGTGTATCTGTGCAGCACGTTCCTGCCACAAGGCCGGCTCTCCCCAAAGGTACATGAGCTCTGTCACACTTCTACACTTGAATATTCAACCTCGTTTTCTTTTTTTCTTTTTTGACAGCCAGCACATGCACAGACGTGAAACACACAAATCCATTCCTGAAACCGAGCAGTCACCCACAACAGACAGTTTCAACACTCGAGAGAAACAATCAATTAAAGAAAATGACAAAGTGAAGCCGTTGCCAAATGATGCAGGCAAACAAAACCACTCAAACCTCGATGATTTAATTAAATACAAACCAGTAAAAGTATTTGTTTCATTACTGCACCTGCGCTGAGGTCAGGACATTTTTCTTCCAGCCGCTCGTTAAAATGTCTCGTTCATTGTCCTTCTCCTTGTTGTGAACCTGACCTGGACAATCTCCTGATGCGTTCTTGTCCGGACAAGTTCATGTCTGAGGTCATAGCATCTGATGTTTAACTCAAACTGCCGCAGACCAATTATTATGCGACACAGTAATAATTAGAGATGGAAGAAATTGGCGTGACCCAGCCAGAGTCTGGTCCGGCTGAATCTTCTTAGTTCTTCGTGACGCTGCAACACAATCCTTGAAGCACGATCCGTCCACGATTAGTCAAAATCTGAACAAGCTAAAGTTAACGTCCCGTGCGTTGGGATGAACACCTTCGTGAAGGAGTGTGAATGTTCTGCCTCCAGGTTTGTGATGAGTGCCTCGTGATTGACAGGCTCTGTAATGAGGTCATGTAGGTGAGAAGCAGGGAGGCCAATTATTTTTGATGCCGTGTGGATGATTTCATAGAATTGGCTCCTTCCTGAGAGCGCTGTCAGGAAACAGGTGTTGCCTCAAAAGAGAACAACTCAGCAGCGGGACTCTTTGGAAGTCTTTTCATTTGTTTCCCCATCGTTCTCCTGCAGAGACCGTTCCCTTAGACCCTCGCTGCGGCTTGGTTCTGGACCAGGGCACATGTCGGGATTATAACATTCGCTGGTACTACGACAAGCAAGCCAACGCCTGCGCCCAGTTCTGGTACGGAGGCTGCAACGGCAACAAGAACCGCTTCGACACGGAGGAGGAGTGCAAGAGGACGTGCGTGATCGCCAGATCCACCGGTACGCTCTCATGATTCATCCCCTGCCATATTTTCATTTATGTCATTCACACCTACCTTGTCAGCCAGCAGACCTGACACCATCCCTCCGTTTCTTCCTCTTCTTGTCAGTTTTAGAGTTGTTTCTTGTTTTTGTGTTTTCCAGGAGGCTGAGAGGAAGCGTCTGCCCTTCATCTGCTGTAGATACCTCACAGAGGAGCAGCTAAAACCAGCCTTGCTCGCTGGGTTATGTAAAGTTTTTGCATCACTGACGTTCCATAACACCACTACATCATAGTTCTTGTCGTATCCTCCTGCAGTTCAGACGAAGCGACCCTACGTCTGACAGATACCTCCATTGTGTTCTCTTTTTTAATATTAGCAAATACTGCAGCAGAAACTCCACCACTCTTTTCTCAGGAATACAGAGGATCAGTGTGTTTCCAGGGATCACACGCAGCCTGTGATTACACACAGAGCATCGCATCCATCAATCAACAAACTGTAGCCACTCATTTCTTCACTCGTCACTCTACGATCTGTCGGTGCTCAAGCACGAATCACTAGAACCAATAAGACACGGCTGAGATTGAGCCTCTCATCACGTAATAAAATATACTTTGTTTTTATCGAACATTACGGACACTGTTACGTCTTTGAGATCATTTTGTGCATTTGAATGTTTCATGTTTACACTGTTTCACTTGTTTCCTTCTCTACATGTCTACACACACGTACACACACACACACACACACACAC